GTCAGAGGAGCTCACCTTCAAGACCACTGCCAGCAGGTGCACAGATTTGCTTTTCAAATCAACATTCCCGCCTTTGTTTAGGTCCTCCTTCAACTCCTTTCGTGCTTTCTCATTGGCAGCTTTTCTGAATATCCCTTCAGTGGAAGGTCCTTTCATATACAATATAGCTAGGAGATCCTGCAGGGAAAAAAAACCAGACAGGAATGAGAACACAGTTACTTGGGTGAAGGAAGGTCCTTTAGCAAATGAACCTTTCTTTAGAAACAGGAGAACAATTGTCTGGAGGTATACTGTGCTCTAATTAATTTAGTATCTAGTTCTTTCTCCAAATAAATCCGTGGGCAATAACCTGCTTTTCCCTTAGTCCACCATCTTTTTGGACTGGTGAATTCCACTAACTTCAGTCATCCCTGCTTCCTTCCAGAAGGAAACGAGGCATGGCTTAAATATTGGTTCAAATCCCCTTCCTCCCAAGCCAGGCAAATATTGCTTAGAAGGGACAAAATCATGATTTTTGGAAAAGCCAACTCAGGAGGAGAACTGTCACAAGACTGTTTTTATCTAGAAGATCTTTCTCTGTGGCAGTCCATAGCTAAACACTTCTTCTTTTCGGGGAAATACAAAAGTCCTTGGAAGTTCATTCTGCTGAAAAAGTAATTTAAAATACTTCTATAGAATTACAGATGTTTATCCTAAGGAGCAGATCTTCTTCTCCTATTCCCAGTCTTGGGCTGTCTGCACTTCAAGCTACTTCCAGTAGCAGTTGTGTGGGCTGGACAGAACCCGCAGACCTGACCCTTTCTACATCTGGGATGGGCCCTAAGCTTATCAGATTTGGGTGCAGAGGGGAAACACCAAAATCAATCATCTCCAGGGTGCTGCAGCACAAGTACCAAGGATCCTGCCTCACCCTGGAAGTCAGAGGTGAGATAACTGTATTGCCAGGCTTGCTTACCTGGATCGGCCGAGGCAGCGTGTCATCTTCCCCACAGATAATTGCCAAAGGCTGGCCAAACAGAGGGATTTTGGCACCAGAGTCTAGCTGCCCTGGGGAATTCCCATTGGTAGAGCTTCGCCTCAGAGTAAATGACTGTGATATCCCCTTCTTCCTTTTCTTTGTTCCATCTGCTCCAAGCAAAAGGAGAGCAAAAAATCAATCTAAGAAAAAACCAGAGCGCACTCTGCGGCCTTTCATCTGTGTGCGGTGCAGAGATGTATGTTGAAATAACTCAGGCTAAACAGAGAGAAACTGAAAGATAACGAAGTGGTTACTAAGGAAACAACCGCCTAAACAGTCCAACTGTGACCATCCCTCTAAGGACACCACCTTTCCTGTTTTTGGGGTTTGTTTTTTTTACATTCTAGTTACTGTTTCTTCTTTGAGAGTGGGAACATGCAAGGCACAGAAATTACAGCATTTATAGAGATTTTTGATATTGCAGCGGTTTCTGTGATAACTATCTAAGGCAGATATGTCGCTTGGGCTGCTGGCAATGACAACAATTTTCACTACGTGGTCTGATCCTGCCCCAGCCTTAGGGCAAGAGTGGTACTAGGGGCTCCTGCTTTTCAGCCTCTTTCACAGGCTGAAATGAAAACACGTCTCCAGCTCTGCCAGCTTCAGAGCAGCAGTGCCATAATGACGGTGGTCCTGCCAAAGCTAGTGCTTGCCAGCCAGCCAGAGGATGGGAACATCACAGTTGGCTTCAGGGTCAGAAATCTCTGAGCATGGGTTATGCATCTGCATCTTAAAGAGGAGGGAATGCTAGGAAATTGGAGATGATGGTTTTATTGGAATGAGGTGTGGCTTTTTATCCCTTTCAGAAACAGTAAGAGGAGGATCCTTTCCCTGGAAAGCATTCTAAAGGAGTTGCCTTCTGCAAATTTCCTATAAAGGACTTGCCTTCTACTCCAAAATGAAGTTGTCTTATGCAGATGAGAAGTTCTCAGGACCTGTATTTGTGGCTTAGCACAAGTCCTTGGTAGGGAGAGGTCACTTAATATTATAGGGTCATATAAAATGTTTGCTTCTCATATTTCTAAAAAATGGTCTGATATGATGGTCTGCTCCAAATCTGACCCCAACCTGCTAATTGTCTCCTATGGGTTGTTTACAGGTGCTGAGGTTTCACATGGTGAAAGAAAGCAAATGTGGTTGCTGCTGCCAGGAGGGTTTATTTGCTCTGGTGTGCAACCACTGGTAGCGGTACTCGCTTGCAGTGCCACACCTCGGGGGTGATGCTCAAGTGAGAAAGGAGCACACTTACTCCCCATTGCTGCCAGGGAACACAATCAAATGTATCAAAGAATCACAGAATCATGGAATGGTTTGGGTTGGAAGGGCCCTTAAAAACCATCTAGTTCCAACCCCCCTGCCATGGGCAGGGACACCTTCCACTAGACCAGGTTGCTCAAAGCCTCATCCAGCCTGGCCTTGAACACTTCCAGGGATAGGGCATCCACAGCTTCTCTGGGCAACCTGTTCCAGTGCCTCACCACCCTCTCCATGAAGAACTTCTTCCTGATATCCAATCTAAACCTCCCCACTTTCAATTTAAACCCATTACCCCTTGTCCTGTCACTACAGGCCCTTGTAAAAAGTCCCCTCCCAGCATCCTTGTAGCCCCTTCAGGTACTGAAAGGCTGCAATAAGGTCTCCCTGGAGCCTTCTCTTCTCTGGGCTGAACAAGCCCAACTCTCTCAGCCTGTCCCCATAGCAGAGGTGCTCCAGCCCCCTGAGCATCTTCGTGGCCTCCTCTGGACTTGCTCCAGAGGGTCTATATCCTGATATTGAGGGCTCGACAGCTGGACGCAGCACTCCAGGTGGGGTCTCACAAGAGCAGAGTAGAGGGGGAGAATCCCCTCCCTCGACCTGCTGGCCACACTTCTCCTGATACAGCCCAGGATACGGTTGGCCTTCTGGACTGCCAGCGCACACTGCCGGCTCATGTCCAGCTTTTTATCCACCAGTACCCCCAAGTCCTTCTCCTCAGGGCTGCTCTCTATCCACTCCCCACCCAGCCTATACTTGTGCTTGGGCTGGGTGTGTCTCCAAGAACCAGGGAGCAAAGATACCAGTCCCCTGGCACTCAGCACGGCATAGCAGGGGTTAAGCTATCTCCTGGATGGGGTTGAGGGCTGTGGATTGCTCTCAGGGAGGTGAAGCAGGCAGTTTCAGGTGGTTTTGCAGAAGCACCAACTTGAAAGTATTATATAAGAAGGCAGTTCCTCAGTTTGGTTTTAGAACTCACCAGCTGGGTGGCAAAGTCCGGCCTCGGTATCTGTGGGGACTGGTGCAGGGCTTTTCTTGGTGTCAGCCTGCAAGAAGCGTGTTGGGGTTACAGAGCCGCCAGCAGCAGCGAGGGCCACCGGTCACTGCACCTTCTTAGAAGTGTGCGAGACTCCGGGGGATGCCCAGAGCAAGCCCAACCCCTGCCGACGAGGCACCCTGGGCCAGGAGGGACACTGTGTCGCTGCCCAACGGAGGGGTTGGTGGTAAGCCCGGTAGCCAGCCCCCCCTGGGGCCTCCTCGGTCAGAACCCCGCACTCTTTCAGGCTGTGCTTTTGATCCAGAGAAGCCACAGCCGGACAGAGCCTGCTCTTTGTGTCCTCCCCTGGTACTGGAGGCTTCCTCCCAAACTTCTCCAGGGAGTCTCGATGGCTTTGGAGCCTGCCAGATTCTCAACTCAAGCTCCCTGGGAGCCTGGGGAACGTGCTGGCTACCCACAACATTGCCCAGCTCCTTCTGCACGGCACTGCCTTCAAAGGGCTCTGCCCGCTCGTGGGTAGGGGTAGGCAGCGGGCAGCTCCGAGGGGTGCCACCCCTACTTTGCTCAGGTATTGCGCATCAGGACCCACCAAGGATCGGGGGAAGCGTAGCGGCTGCTTACCTCCGACCGGCACTCGATCAGACTCTCCATGTTCCCAGCATTTAGTGTCTTTGACTAGGCAAGAAAACAAAAGATGCTATGTGAGTAATTGAATGCTGTGGTTTAGGAATCAGCACTGTTCAAAATCACTCTGCTGGCAGAGCTGAAACAATGAAGGCACTCACAGTATTACAGCTGCTTAACACTTTCATTAGGAGTTTGATCGGGGGAGCTCTGGACACTCTGGTTTCCTTCGGTCCTTTTGCTTGCCTGTTTATTGAACAGGGAATGGACAAAGAAAGAGCTTTGTAAAACCGTACCCTTCTTGTCTTTCTCCCCTGCGAGCCAGTCGAGCATTTAAGTACGATCCTGAACCAGCCAGATATCCCACACAACTGAGTCATAAAGCTCTTCTCTGGAAGGCACTCAGCCCTCCTCCCCTAACTGCCTCTTGATTAAAACAGAAAAAAAGCAGCTTTCCCTTTTTAATCCGTGCAAAAAAATGAGCAAGTGGTGACAGCTACAGGTTGTTAATCTGCGATCACCAGGCTAAGCAAGTCCGTTGGCTCTGCCCATGGGCTATGCTTTAGCCGTGGGCGCACCTCTCCCCCGTGCTCCTTTTTGTACATCCCTCTACGGCTGCAGCTGGAGCGCTCCGCCGACTTCAACCGCGACGCCGCAGGCTTTATCCCGGGCAGTACTCACCCAAGCAGCGAGTCCAGCCAGAGCTCCTTCACCTCCCGTGAGCTGCAGAGGAAAGGAGAAACAGCATCACTCCCCACTGCTACTAATCCTTCGGAGAGAGGCAGGCGACTAAACAGTTCTACCCCACGTGTGCTGCCTTATATATGCAGAAGGGGCAGGTGGAAATTCACAGACAGGAAGAAGCATCATGGGGCAGGACTGAGACTCTACGAAATTTCTAGTTTCCTCTTTCCTTTTGGAGGAGCTACTTTTTTTTTTTCCTTCAAGAAAAAAAGCAAAGCAGCCCTTGTCACTGTTATGGATGGAAAAGATGAGACACTCACCAGGTAAAGGTTCCATCTAGCATCACCAGCATGAGGTGGGACGTGCAGAGGGGGCTGCAGTGTGGGCAGCTTCTCCTTGCTGTTAAAGGGCAGTCTGTTCTTTGACTGCTCAGAGACCTCAGACTTTGCAGTCTGAAGACGCACCACCGGATCAGGTTATACTAGGAATAGTTGGAAAATTGGGGAGTAGGACAACCAAGATTCAGAGAAATGTTTTTGTATATTTTTTTAAAAACTAATGGCAACAGTTTACTGTCTGCAAGCAGATGTAGACACACACGTTTCCGGTGCCAACTAGTTCTTGCAAATCTAAGCACTGGAAGAAGCAGTGTTATGTAATAATCCCATAAAAAGTCTTGATTAAAATATGTCTTAGTAAGAATGATTTGTCCAAGCAATAAACCTTAATTCAACTGAGGAGAACAAGAAATCCAGGAAAAAAATCTACTTCTGCTCTCCCTGTACCTCATCAGGGTCTGTTGCTGACTCCCCTCCAACCTGGGACATCAGGAACGTAAGGACAACTACTCACTCTACCAGGCCATTATGAAAATTCAACAGTGCCTGATGCTGAATGCAAGATATTAGTCCTACTGGTTCACTGACAGAGGCAAGTTGCATCCCCGTATCCTGGGTATTAGTCTTTTGGTCTAGTGAAAAAGAGGGGATAAGGCTGAGACTCCAAGGGTTGGGGATATTTCAACGGTCGATTTAGGTGGAAAACACGCTTGTAAAACTCTGGTCTGTGCTACCTCCTCTACTGGATGCTTCATTTCATGTGTGCAGGGGACGAGGCTGTGTCACAGCACAGCTCTTTGCAGATGCATGTTACGGCTACATCCGCTGCTGAATTCACCATGAAAGACGTTCTTTGCTTAACCACATCAGACCTGGCCCATGTAGCATTGACCCTGGGTTGTCATGACATGGAAGAGGCAGGCAGGCAGTCTAGTCTCGACTCTGGCAAAAATCTAAGGTGCAAAATTCACTTTTGGTTAGACAGAGATGTGTGCAGAAGGGCAAAAGGAGAGCTGCCCTGCTTTTGCAGGGGGAGATGCTGTAGGTGACCTTTCAAGCTCCCCTGACGCCCACCATACCCCATCTACCAGTCTGTAGGCTTGTTTAGGGCTGAAACTTACAGGAATCTCCATCAATTACTCTGCAGCCCTGTGCACTTACCACTGATCTTTTACTCACTGCTGTAACTGGTTTCTGTTAATTAGCAGTCCCATAACATTTGTCATTTCCTTATTAAATTCCATGGGCCAATGCATGTTTTTGCAGAAATATTGTCATCCTGCATTGCATTCTCTTGAGAACTTCTTCCAAGGCTCCCTGGCAGGTGCTGCACTCCTGCTGATAGTCCCAGCAGGATTCCTGGGACGAGGGGCATCTGTTTTTTAGTAGGTCTATTAAATGTGTGTCTAAACATATCTGTCTGTCCAGTATCTCGGAGGCTAAGGGGAATTCAGTTCTGCTGTGCTTTCTCTTCCAGCACTGTACACAGCCGTATTTCTGAGCTCCGTCCGTTGCATGATTAAGACATGGGGTTTGATCTGGGAAATGTGCGACTCGTGGAGAAAATGGGAGTTTAATGGGTGGTGATTAGCCAGGTCGGAAGCTTGGATTACACAGGGCACAGCTGCACACAGGGCATAATGCTTTGAATTTCCCAGGAGGGAAAGATACAGGAACGGGTGGTGTATTGATAGCACATCACCAGGCGGTCCGTTGGCACACACTGCTGTATTTCAATCTAATTAGTTCCCACCTATTAACAGTTGTGGGGGTTTAATGGCCATTGCAAACTTGCCTGCCCATGTGGAAAACCTTTTGGGTTTTTTTACCCTCCTGATATCATTCTTTTTTTTTATAGCTCTTATATGGTGTGTATCACAAACAGTTAATTTGCACCAAAATGAATTTAAACCAGCTTCTTTCATTACAAATGTGCCCATCTGAATAGCAGGCATCCTGAAATGTTATGGCCTGGTGGAGTGATTGTGTGGCCACACAGAACAAAGCTTGGCTGTATCTGTGAAGAGCAGCAAGTGAGCACGTGCTGGCTCCCATCGAGCACCACAGAGCTGCGTGCAGGCCCCCGAGGTCTGAAGAGCTGCTGTGCATCAGAGTGTGCACTGAGTACAATGGGTTTTGGGTACCACTGTGTACAGTACAATGTGGGTTTTGCACCACAGTGGTTACTCTAGGACAGGCAGAGTTGATGGCAGGTGGCTTGGGCACACCTGGAGCTGTTTGCAAGGTGACGTGTTTCTCCCTGAATATGTGAATGCACCCCCTTTCAAAGACACGAGGAGGTTTACACAAATATCAGGGTGTGGGAGGGGGGGTGCACTTACAAGGGTTTCGTAGGACTGGCCTATGTATGAGCTCTTCCCCTCCTGCATGTCAGGTGGCTTCCCCCAGTTCTGCTGAAGCGCTTTACCCTCACTAAAGGGCAAGCAGGAGGTCCTGCAGAGCCGCCCACCCCGCGTAGATCCAGGCCTCATGGGACTGGGTTTCCTCCTCAGGGTGTGAAGCGTTTTCCTTGTAGAAGGCAGGACATCAGACTGATGACTCCGCTTTCCCCTGAGCCCAGGCAGCCCCCTTCCCTCTCCTAGGGCATGGCTGCTTTTGTGGCTGACTCTCCCAGGCACCTTGTCAAGCCAATTTTTGGAGGGAAGGCTTATGTGGGTGCTTGCTGCCCACACGGTGGTTTTCCCCTTTCTGTGAGCCGCAGTCAAGCTAGGCGTTTCACGCTCTTTCCTCCCCTCTCCTCTCACACCGTGCCTCGGTGGAGGACTCCAGAACGTAGCAATGAAGGGGCAGCATCAGCTGGGAGAAGAAAGGAATCAGGAGCTGATAGTAAACAAAAAGAACAAAAGAACAAACCTGCTGTGTCTGGAAAGTGCCTGTTTTCTTCTCCTCTTATCAAACCACACTGGGAAAATCCCAGCCACAGCTCACTTTTGTTTATTTCTACTGCTTTCACAAAAGTTTGACACGATGGCTCTTCGAAATGAGGGAGTGTGTGAATTAATCCTGAAACCCACCTTCACCCTGTTGTCGTTCCAGCAAGGACACAGCAGGATTGTCGCTGTGACCAGTGTACAGCCAGACGCGCCTCGAGCAGAGACTCTGTCAAGCCCATATAGAGCAAAAAGAGCCTTTCTCAGTGCCTCACTATGTGGAAAAGGGGTTGTATTCCAGTTTTGTCTTCGCTGGCATGACTGTGGTCTCCCAGGGGATGATAGGAACATTTACCAAAATAAGGAAAGCAATTATGCCAAAGAGAGTTGTTGGGTGGGTTTTTTTGGGAAAGGAAAGCTTTGCACAATCTGTCCACAGACTCAAAGAACAGGGTGGCACGTGTGTTCTGAGAACAGGTCACGTTTCTACAGGTCTCATGAAGGCAGTTCTGATTTCCTACTGCTCTCCAGAGTGTCTTGCAAGTGGCATAGGTTCAGGGGTCGATCACAGAAAAGAGGGCGGCCCAAGCTTTCATCAGGCCAGTCCCAGCTTCCTGCATGTAACAGTTAGAACGAGATCTGCCAACCCAGCTGGTGCTGAACTCCTACAGCTTTGATCAGGCGGGACCCGGGCTCGTGCTAACCCTGCCTCTGGGAAGTGAAACCCACTGTCACTTTTTTCCTGCTTTGCTCAGTTGATTTCTATTCTTAATCGGATATCAAGGTGAGATTGCGATGTGGGTGAGATTGCACCACCCTTCTACACACTGGGTTACCGCCGCACAGGAAAAAGTTACGAACCAAAAGTAATACTGTAAGTACAGCCCAAGGGGTATTCTGTGCCCTTCCCATGACACCCTTTGGGTTTGCATTTGCTTTGCAGGGTGTTTGTTTATTCTTTCATGGGTGCCTCCCCCAAGGCTAAGTTGGCAGCTCTGAAGGGTTTTACCAGCCACCAGGTAACTGGTTCCAGTGGGTAGTTTCTTTGCTGTGCAGGGCAGGGATAGATAAGCCATTTTTCCAAAGGGTCTATGCTGGTGTTCAGTCATGTCTGAACTCAGTTGGCTGTTGTATCACTGCGGTGCTTGGGAATCACCCATTTCTTGGGCTTCCTGAGGTGGCCAGCACAAAGGAATCTGAGAGTTGAATTTGCCCATCATTTCTGACTGAGCGGATGCAGATCTAAATCTCTGCTTGCTTACAATAATCATAGAA